ATAGCACCTGGTCTTCCTAGGTGGTCTCCTATCCAAGTACTAACCAGACCCGACCCTGCTTAGCTTTTGAGATCAGATGAGATCCGGCTTGTTCAGGGTGGCATGGCCATAGACTACTTAACCTTTCTGCACCTCAGTTTCCTCATCTGAAGAAATGCTAGTAAAACCCGTCCATAGGAACATGTCAGCTAATATTATATGACAGGCTCTGCCCCTGCCTTGTGCATTGAGCATCCACCCAAGATTCCTCTTGCTCCGTTCCCTGTTGCAAACAAAGTGTCTGAAACCTTCGTCCAATAGGAGCTTCTCCAGATACTCCTTGTCCACGTAGAGCTCTCCCAGGAGCTGGCGGACAGTCTTCTCACTCTTGAATGAGCCTTTCCGCTTGGACTCTCTCTTGGGGTGGTGTAAAAGCTGTCTCACAGGATGAAGCTTCTGCAGGGCTTTCATATTCTAGGAAGATAGAGCAACACTTGACAGAGCTTCAGCAGGGAACATAGAGAACCCAGCCAGGGCCCCGGAGTCTGTGATCCCAGACTCCTCCTCCAGGACCTCCTTGTGGGCCGAGACCCAAGGATCATGTCTGGTCCAGGAATAGCTAGACTCCCAAGGCCCCTCTAAAGCTAGAGCAGAATCTCATGGCTGCTTGTGATGGGCAGGAGCTAGTCGCTCCCAGGCAAGAGAGCCACTAAGACTTGTGCACCTCATGCACATGTGGCCTCTTATCTTAGAGGGGTGGCATCAGAACCAGGACCCTTACCTCAGCTTGCTTGCTTAAGAAGGAGAGGTCCCCTTTGTTCTCCAGCTTAATCGAAGAAGGACCTGCAAGAAACTTGGACTTAGGTCGGCCAGGCCCCTGGTATGACCTATCACATATTTTTACGTGGAAATGGCTGCCTTTGGCAGAAGGATGGTGCGGGTTGTTGCAAAGCTGGCTCTGAGCCAGGCTGGCAGGCGAATGATACAGGGTGTTTGTTGTTATTCTCTTGCAGCAGCTAGGCAGTTCCCACTAGTTGAAGGCAGCAAGATTTCCAAATAAGGGGAGCTCTCCATTTCATGCCGTTTCCATACTCTGCTGCTCACACTGGTAAGCTCTTGCTCTCCTTCCTCCTCCTCCCTGCCATTGAGCTGATGGGTAAGGCCAGCCCTTGGTGCACAGGTGGTAAGGGAGAAAGCCAGAGACTAGAGAAGACTAGGCTCAAGATTCCATTCTACCCTATGACACCAGGCCAAAAATAGGCCTCCTCATCTGGCTTGGGGTGAGTGATACGGTCCTTCTCATCCGGCTCCAGGAGAACAAGACACTGCAGTGCAGTAGATGGGGGACTCGTCCTCCTAGTGGACAGTTCCTAATCTTCAACGAGATTAGCAGCAGCCAAATCTAAGCATGAGATGCCCTGCAAGTCTCCTGGTGGTTGCTCACCCTAGGCACCTCAGGCCTTCCTCCAAACCTAAGGATTCCAAGAGACTTGCTGAATAAGGCCATAGACCCCATGATCACTCACTTCCCACTGAGTTGTTGATAGCTTCCTGGGCTTTCTGAATTCCAACTTTGAATTCCCGATCAGGCCGCAGCTTATAGCCTCGATGATAGAACACCAAGGCAAACTCAAAGTCTCCCATGGTGTACAGGGTCTCGGCCTTTTGTAAAATCCCCTGAAATGAGAGGAAGTCAAATCAAGGTGGACAAGCAAGGCCTTACAGGACTCAGATGTGGTGGAACAGAGGGTCCTGGGTTGAGGATCAAGGTTGGGATACAGGGGCAGGGAGATAGGCAAATGACCTATGAAGAGAAAATGGCATCAGACTCTAGGTAGTCTGGCTGGTTCTTCTACCACTTCTAACCAGAGGCTGCTGCAGACAATGGCAGTGGTGAAAGCGAGATTGAGTCCTCCACCCATACCTTGCAGAAAGTCGGGTCACACTGGAGTGAAGCTTCAGCATCTTTCAGGGATTTCTCCAACTCTCCCATCTTCAGGAAGCACTTGGAGCGGGCCACCAGGCAGTTCTTATCCCCATTCTGAAGGTGAAGAGCCTGAGAAAGGAACCACTCAGGTTGACAGGTACCACGCAGGGCAAGGTAGAAGCTGGATTGGAAATAGCAGCCCAAACCCCACTGCCAGAGTTTCAAGAGGACTCCTCGGGGCAGCAAACCGGTCTTTGGATCTTATCAGACCAAAAGTCGGACAATATCGATCTTTGCTTAGTCAACTTGATTATCTGCAAGTGGCTCTTCTTGAACAAGGCCCTATCACAAACTATTGTGGAAGCCACTAGTTGAGATGTGAGAATATACTACTCTGTAGTTATACTGAATCCCCCGCCCCCCACCCCCGCAAGTGTCTGGGATTCCTCCAGTCCACTCAGACAATAGAATCTTAGGATGTTTGGTGCTTACCAAATTCATCCACAAATCTGAAATGGCTGCACAGTACCCTCAAAATACATTCTGAAGGCTAACAAAATGGATTTTAGGACAATCTGCAACTTGAGTTATCCATTCTACTAGCCCTGTTTTAATATAGCTTATTGAGAATGAATCTCTGTTTCAGGGGATTAAAATGAAAATGCCAGCAAAACTGAAACTGTGATTTCGGCCCTCAAGTGGGAGCAGAATGCTTCCTCTACTTTCCATGTCCTCTCTTTTTCTGTTTGAGATCATTACCATAGTCTGTGGAGTACTGTCCTTCCTGAGGCATCTGCCCCTTGATAAGACCTTCCTTCTTTTCCAGGAAGAGGAAGTAGCTACTTTCTTTCGTGGAAAAAGGCCACTTCTCACCCAAAGCTATCTTCCCTCCAAGGCAGAAGCTCTCTGCCTGAGCTTCTCCAGGATGAAACATGATCCTGAAAGAGGAGAATGGTGGGAGCGGGGCTCCTGAACTGAGTTATTGGCCATCTGGTCAATTATTTCTGGTTTTAGGGTTTGGTTGGTGATCAAAGGGATAAGAGATTCTGGGTAGCAGTTGAGAAGCGTGATTTCAGGGAGTCCGGGGACTGGTTAGAGGGCTATTCTGCCACTCCATTTGGAATAAGAAGTAGGCTATTTCTTGTAAAAGAAATTGTCATAAGAACATCTAATCGTTTACTTATGAGGTAGTAACCTCTGGTGGTTAGCAACTCAGCACTGGAATCTGAGTGCCTGAGGTTGAATCCTTCCTCTGCCACTTGCTAGTTCAATGATCTTGGACATGTTACTCGACTTCTTTATCAGTTTCCTTATCTGTAAAATGGAGTAACAATAGTACCTCCCCTATAGGCTTGTACTGTAGTTAGCCGTATGCCTGGTATCCTAAAACAGCACTCAATCCCTTTAGGGTGGTGTGAAGGAATTTATACTAAGATTATGTGTAAAAATGTTAGTTATTTGCTGACCACCTTCCATGAGCAACTGTGTGCCAGAGACTTCACTTCTGCAAGAAGTCTCCCAGCCAATCTCCTGGCCAATGGTGGCAAATTGAGACTGCTCTGTAGAAGGAGGCCAGTCAATCACGAAACATTTGAGCAAAAAGTAGAAGAGGTCACTGTTAACTATAGAATGCTTATTAAGAATCAGGCAGAACGTAAGTGGGAATTGGTAGAAAATGGCTCAGCAGGGGCTTATCAATCAGGAGCAAACGAATAACAGAAACAATAGGGTCCTCCAGGCATCATTAGGGCCTCGGCGTTATCAGTAATCTAAAGCGGTGATCGGTGATTGATAGGTTCAGAGTGCGACTCACGTTGCTGAAGCTATGGGCGGCTTTGGAGAACTCCCCGCAGAGATAGAGCCTCTCGCCCTCTGCCATGTAAGAGGAAAAGGTGCTTCGCAAGCCCTCATTTTCTGGGTCCGACATGATGACGGAATTCGCAGATGCCGAAGCGGACCAAGGGAGGAAAAGAAGCCAGAAACCCTCTGTCTAGTTTGTGGAAGCCACGTCTCTTAGCAACCGGGAGACGTGCGCTACTTCCGGTCCCGCCCCTCGCTCTTGCAGGGCTTAAGTCGTGGGGACAAGTGCCGCCGGCGTGCGCAGGCACCCGTGCTTCTGCGCACCGGACGGGGGAGTGATTAGCGCGTGTCCGGTGAGTGTAAGACGGCCTCGCTTCACAGTGCTCGCTATTGCATCTTCCATCGGTTTCCTCTGTAGTTGAATCGTGTCCAGAATTTACAGCCAGGAAAATAGGAAGAGGATTGGAGGCAAAATTCCAAATAGGGATAAAGGCATACGTGGCAAGGATGTGTGCGCCGCGTGTACCGCCTTCCGGGGGAGAGAGCACTGGGCTAGGAGTGGGAGTAGTACTCGGGCAGTCTCTAAATGCGTGACCCGGCGGCTGGCACGTAAGGGCTCTAAGCCTTTAATTTTCCGCCTGCCAAGGGAACGTGCAGATACTAAAACATTACGGATGTGAGAGTTTGCATGAGACAACGTGCAAAATAAAGTTGAATTCAACCATTAATTTAACACATTTATTGAGCCCCTGCTAGTGGCAGGCCTGGATCAATACCTTTCCTTGACATTCTTCCCTATTCTTCCCTCCTCACCCCCCACAAAAAAGAAAAGATGGACTAGGTTCTTCTAGGTTCTAACAAATACCCTGCCTTTGCTACATTATTTTTATTTTTATGTTATTTATTTATTTATTTATTTATTTATTTATTTATTTATTGCTACATTATTTTTAAAACGTGAACTCCCAACGCGAATGAGATTGTGACCTATATACTAAAGCTGCTTGCAGAAGTGAAGTCTGGCACACAGTTGCTCATGGAAGGTGGTCAGTAAATAACTAACATTATTATACATAATTTTAGTATACCAGGCATACCACTAAGTACAATACAAGCCTATGGGCGAGGTACCGTTATTACTTGATTTTACAGATAAGGAAAATTTTTACCGATAAATAAAGAGGTTGAGTAACAGGCCCAGGATCACGGAACTAGCAAGTGACAGAGGAAGGAGTCAACCCCAGACCCTCAGACTCCAGTGCCTAGGAGAACTTGTATTAACCTCCTATTTCCAGAATTCAACTGTCTGGCACATAGTAGGAGCTAAATAAATCATTGGTTTGAATAGTAAAAAGGTATCCTAAATACACACACAATGAGTAAATGAAAAATTTGGGAAATCTAAATAAGATCAGTGGATTGGGTCAGTGTGAATTTTTGGTTGTGTTGTACTAAAGTTTTTCAAGATATTACCATTGGAGTAAACCGGGTAAAAAGTACATGGGATCTCTCTGTATTTTCTCTCTTACAACTGCATATGAATCTACAATTATCCCCAATAAAAGGTTTAAATTAAAAGTAGAAAGCTTCTTTAATACCAAGAAAAATAACATGGTTCCTTCCCTGGAAGAGTTCTAATCAGGGAGCGAGATGCATAAACAATAATGATGGCCAAAGTGATATTAGCCATTCAGAGTTCTGTGTGCCTGTGAGGGAGGTGAGGCCCAGATAAGTGAATGATTCAGTTAGACTGGAATGGGTCACAGATGGGATAACATTTGAGCTGAGGATGAGTAGAAGGATGCCCTGGAGACCAAAGCAGAGAAGGAGGTAAGCAAAGACCAGATGTGTGTAAGTTCATTAGGTGTGTAAGGAGCAGCAGCCCCATGCACTGGACTGAAACTTGTCCTGTTCTAGGTTCTAGGTTATTAAGATGGGCACATAGGTGAGTTGAACACACTGCTGAAGTGACCAGCAGTTAATTGGAAAAAAAACTCCTGCAAAGAGGAAATCTGCAGATTAAATGCAATCCTAATCAAAATCCTATCAGATATATATATATATTTTTTTTTTAGCAATTAACAAACTGCTTCTAAAACTTATGGAGAAATGCAAAGGACCTAGAATAGCCAAAACAATTTTGAAAAAGGACAAAGAGAACTTATATTCTGCTTTCAAGACTTATTTTAAAGCTATAGTAATGGTATTAGCATAAAGGTCAATATATAGATCAGTGGAACAGAATAGAGAATCCAGAAATAGATTCACGTATATATGATCAATTAATGTTCAACAAAATTGCCAAGGAAATTCAATGGGGAAATTCAATCTTTTCAACAAATGGTGCTGGAACAATTGGAAAGCCATATGCCAAAATAACAAACAGACAAAAAACCTGACCGTTACGCCACACCATATACAAAAGTTAACTTGAAAGATTTAAATGTAAGGGGTAAAATTATGAAACTATGAGAAAATAGGCAAAAATAATAGGGCACGAAAATCATGACAAATAAAAATAAACTTGACATCAAAATTAAAATCTTCAAAAGACATTGGTAAAAAAAAGACACAGTTAAGAAAATTAAAAGGCAAGCCACAGACTGGGGTAAAATATTTGTAAAACGTATATCTGACAAAGAACTTGTATTTACAATAGATAAAAAATTTTACAATGAGACTGATAAAAGAATGACCAAATAATTTGAAGTTACTCCATTAAAGAAGATATATAGATGGCCAATTAGCACATGAAAAGATGTTCAACATCATTAGTCAGTACGGAATTACAAATTAAAAACCACAGTGAGACACACCCACTAGAATGGTTAAAATAAAAACGATTGACCTTCCCAGGTCCTGGAGAGGGTGTTAAGCAACTGGAATTCTCAAACATTGTTGAGTATAACCACTTGGGAAACAGTTTGGCAGCTTCTTAAAAAGTTAAACATGCCCTTACCATATATCTCAGGCGTTTTACTTCTAGGAATTTATCCAAGAGAAATTAAAGCTGTACAGGAACACTTAGAGCAGCTTTATTTGTCATAGCCCTAAACTGGAAACATATCCATTGACAGGTGAATGGATGAATAAATTGTTGTTTATCCATGTAATGGAAGACTACTCAGCAATAAACAGGAAAAAACTATTGATACATGCATAATATAGATAAATCTCAAAATAATTATGCTGAGTGAAAGAATTCAGACCAAAAAAAGACTATATTATTTCATTTATATAAAATTCTAGAATGTACAAAGAATTTATTACAGTTTATGTTCCACCTGGATGCCTGTTTCTGGATGGGTCTATCTTTCTAACTAGAGGGAAAAGCTGCTGCACAGGTGATCCCTTCTGACTGCAATCTTCCTGCTAGCCCACAAAGACCTTGAGTTGCTGTTCCCCAAGGCCAGAAATAAAATATCTTCATAGATGTTTTCTTTACTTACAGAGAGGTGAGCCTTCTCCAATATTTATTTGTTTGGAGAGATTCTTGATAGGGGTGGGAGACTCTCTAGGACCAAGAGGGAGGAGAAGTGAGGAGCTACTATTTGAAAATGATGCCTATGAAGGAAGGGACCGTAAAGTGATGTCATCAGAGATCACTTGCTTCAGGCATGGCAGCAAGTTTAGCTGCCCCACTCCTGGCTACAACTGGATTGGAGGGAGGAGGGCTTGGAGAAGTTTTTGTCCACAAGAATGTCACAACATTGTTACAGCGTCAGTGTGACCCAAGTGCTTGGCAGGGGCACAGGCATGCTGACTCTGCATACTGGGCTGACCCCTTAAACTGAGCTGCTCAACGCATGATTCTCCACCCTGGAACTAGACAGCTATTAGGGGCAGGGAGCAGCTCCAGAGACTTAACAGGACTGGGGTAGAGGTAGCGGAGCTCCAGAATGCCGGAGTAGATACAGTCCTGAATATTTTATATAGTCTGCTCCAGAAGTTCACCAGCACCTGTCAGACCTGATGTCCCAGTTTTTGGTTCAGAAAATGTAATCTGTCTCACAGGTAACGGAGAAGAGGGAGGTAGCAGTTCATTCATTCCAGAGTCTATGCATGAGGTTGGGTCGGGGGTAGGAGCAGAAGAGTGGCAGAGATGGCTTCAGCCCTGCGCTAGAATCTCCTGTGAATCCGCACAGAGGTGAGTGAGTGAGTGGGACACAAGGAAGTGTGACTGGCACTCTCCTAGCCCCACTTGCTTACCCTCTCCCCCACCCTATGTCACACTGGGAGGTTTGATTTGTTAGCTTCGGCTCTTAGCCTCGCCCCGCTGGCTCGCCCCGCTGGCTCAACCGAGAGGGCCCACGTGCATATGGGAAAGCAGTCTGCCACGGCTGCTTAAAAAGTGGGACTAAGCAACTGGGTTCGGTATGAGTGCTTTCAGGCAGCCGGGATACAGACGTTTTTCCCATGGGGAGACAGGAAGGAGACTCCAGGTCCCCAAAGCTGTACTACGGCCTGTTCGGCCAACACCCCGCCACAACACCCCTATCCGATCAGCAGTTGGCCCATCCCCTAAGCGATCAGGCCACTTCTCATAGCCCGGTACGTTCTCCTCCCAGCGTAGCCTCACCCATCTCCCCACCCGAGGCCCCGCCCCGCGTCCCTCCAGGTCCCAGCCGCGGGTGGAGAGGCGGTGCCTGCTGACTATTTGGACGGATGCGCCAGCGGGACTACAAGTCCCAGAAGCCCCTGTGGCCCGCCCACAGGGGCGGGGCTATGCCGGATAGCGAATTGGGAGGAGCCCTGGCGCTCAGGCTAGGGAACGCGTGTGACCAATCGCCGGGCGGCTCGCAACGTGAGCTGATGGGGGCGGAGAGAAGCCCTCAGAGGCCAGGACAAAAGCCGGATCCCGGGCGGTGGCGGGAGGGTGGCGCGCTCCGGGTAGTGGCCTGTGATTCAAGGCCTGTGGAGGGAGCGCCGCGCACAGACTTTCGCAGAGAGGTGAGTGGCGGGCGGCTGCTTTCACGGGAGGGCCCCGACCTGGCCCAGGAGCTTCCTGCTTCCCTCCCTCAACCCGGAACCTCCTCTCCGGATGCCGGCTTGCTGTTCACGTGCCCTCCTTGCACCTGTTTGGAAGTTTTGGTTGTCGTAGCTTTCGGTTAGTCTTCGTCCGGGACCCCGGCCAGCGGCTGTGTGCCGACTACTCCCCACTTCTCCCACCTTCCAGTTCCTGGGAATTTGCACAGGTCTTGCTGCAGTCCTTGCTTCTCTTCCGTCCGCCGAATTGCATTTGCTTCCTGCGGGTGCCCCTCGCCCCCTCCCGGGGCCAGTTATCGAGTCTCTTCGGCTCTATCGGGCCACTTCTTGCTCCCATCCGGTCCCCCACCGGATGCGGGGGACGGGAAATAGACCGGTGACCATTCACCTCACTCCGGCTCCTCGCAAACCGGGCTCAGGCCCTTTCTCTTAGTTCTGTGGAGAGTCGATTGAGCCCCGCACCGAAGTGGGAGGAGCGAGCCAGGAGCGCCGGCACAGCGAGCCATGGCGAGCCACGCGGGCCCGGGCTGCCCAAGGGTGCTCGAGGCCTGGCCTCTCCTTGGGGACCTGGCTGTAGAGTGGCAGCGCAGGAGGGACCCTCCTCGCTCTGGAGGTGCCTTCGGGCCCAGCCTTTAAGCGACAGATGGCCGGGGTGCCCGTCTCCCTCCCCACCCCTGGCGCTGACGCCAAGCTTGGCCCAGGCAAGGTCCTCAAGGGGCCAGAGGATGCTACCGCTGCCCTCCTGTTGGGCCTGGCAGAGGACCAGTCCCAGCGCTGGTTGCCCTCTCCAACCTTGACAGATACTGTGCAGTTCCAAGGAGTTCTGCCATTTGGTGGTCCCCAGCGGTCTGCCTGGAAAGAGGATTTTGGAGAGGATAGTGGGGAGCAGTGCATAGCACAGTCACTTTGCTCTGGGTTTCAGCCATCTCAGTTCCTTGGATTTCTGAAATGTTAGGTGACAGGCAGCTGGAAGAGACCCCAGCTTCCCAGACTGGTAATTTTCACCTCTTACAGAGCTTCTTAAACAGCTTGGGAGACCTCTATGGAAAGATCCCTCAGACACTGGGCAGCTGGTGTCTCCACCACCATTCTGACACTATGTAAGGGACACTCACAGAACACCACCCTTTCCTTTACTCCAAAGATTGCCTGTTCCCTCAAAAAAAGCCAGCCTTATGGATATTAACCTGCTTTTTGTTCTTCCCAGAGAAAGACCCTAAGTAGTATCCCTAGTAGTTCCTCTCCACTGGCTGTGTCCCAGAGGTACATTCCTGGGGAACAGTCTCCATTCATTCAGCCTTCCCTGTGGGCTGCTTCTGTCCTGATTGGCTGCTGTAGATGAACTCAATCCTGGGTCATTTAGCCTGTCTGCAGACAAGACCCTATTCAGCTCATAAGGTCCTTCCTTTGGTGTGTGTGTGTATGTGTGTGTATGAGTTTTAGGTTCCTTGGCATGATTTCCCCCAAATGGTTTACACATTTACCTGTTATTTGGTAGCAGTTTCTTAGGCCCCACAGTGGACCCCCAGGGTCTTAACTCTGACCTGAAATCATCTATCACCAGTTTGACCATGCATTCAGCTCCTAGGGAGGCAGCCTAAGACTTTGAGGATGTGCTCCTCAGACCCAGATTGGTATATACTTTAAGTCCCATTGTCATTAGGGCAAATGTTTTAAATTGGTGGTCTAGGGACCATCAGATAATAGTCATAGGCCAGCACCCTGAAATGATTGCACAGTCAGGTACATGCACATGTTTCTGGGCTTTTCTTCAAATACTCAAGAGTCTGAGACTTCAAATAGGTTAAGAGCTGCCGCCCTAGGGAGACTTCAAGACTCTGCTTAGTGGGACTTATCTCTACCCAATCCAAGTTACAAGATTTGTAAGCCTTCTTAACCTGCATTGGTGAATATACAGAGGCCAGATTCTTTTCTTGCTTTTATTTTATTTTATAAATTCTCTTTCTTGGCCTTCAGAGGACCTGCCCCATTTAGGCCAGAGTCCTCTGGTGGCAAATCTGTTTTTTTTTTTTGGTAAGCAGGCAAATCTTTTCTATCCTGTATTATCCTCTTGTTGTATCTTCTCTCGCATTTCCTTCTGAGGACGTTATGGAGATGAGCTCTTGGATCCGAGATTTGATCTGGGGCTCAAGAAAATTAATGATTTTTCCAGCTATAAGCTATAGAAGGAAGGTCCCTTTTCTCACCCTGTCCTTTCCAAAGTTGGGTCTTTGTCTGTTTTGTTGGGAGATGCCAAGTTTGAGGGATTGTTGTTTTGGGAGTGTCTATCAGACTTCTCTCTGCTGGAAAGGCTAAGCTGAGCAGCTTCATTCCTCCTGGATTTTGTAGTCACCTGTGCCTGATGTGCCAGAACTGCTGAGGGTGGTCCAAAGCTGCCCTCTCCTTTCTCTGCTTGATCTGCCCTGGGCTGCGCTCTGTTTGGGAGGGGGGTGGTGTACCCATCTGATTTCAGGACCAGTTTTTCTGGTCTGAGTCAAGAAGGTTGAGAAATGGAGCTAGAGTGGGTGGGGGTGGAGGAACTATGGGGCAGTGGGGCTGGTTGAGGCCTCTCTTCCTGAAACTCATGTTGAGATGGAGCTGGAAGTCATTCCAAGCGGAAGCCAGAAAAGGGCATGTCTCCTTTGAGCCCCTTTCCAGTTACCCCACTTTGGGCCAGACATCAGACTGAATGTGCCCATTGTGCCCAGCTAGAGACTAGCTGGGAGGCCGAAGGAGCCAGCTAAGCCAAGATTAGAACCTGAAGCCCCAGCCTGGCCAGTTGGGAGGGAGGTACAGAGTGACCCCTGGAACATTGGACTTTCCTCAGCTGGGAAGGTACATGCACATTTTTCCAACCTTCCTGTGTGTATAAACCAGCCAGTTCCCTAACTCTGCCCTCCTTTATTTGCACTTGACTTTTCTGCCCTAGCAAATTCAACAACTTTAGTTCTGGATCTTTGTGGGAGACACAGGAGTGGCTTTTCCTGATCTGGCCAAGCTTTTGGCATAATGACTTGGTTTCCTTCCCCTCCCACTCCCCCATTCTTCTCCCCAACTCACTCCAGTCACTACCCATGGCAGAATGGGTGTGTCAGGACAGAGTGGTAGGGAGGGAAATGAAATTGTCACACAGACCCTTCTTTGAAGTGAAGTGGTCTTTTCTTTTGAGCTGAGGTGTGGGGTTTCCTGAGGATCAGGAGTTAAAGGATTTAGGTTTAAGTCTTGGGTCCCCTGCTACTTAGTTAGGCTTCTTGGGTAAGTTATCTTAATCCTTCTGAGCTTCTATTCCTCATCTAAGAAAGGATATGAATCTTGATGCACTTCACAGTGCTCACATAAGGTGAGCTTCTATATACATGTGACTGAGATTGGTTTCTGCCTCCTCCCCCATCCCTGGCTCAGTTAGAAGTGACTAGTATGAAGTGGTCCCTAGGGAGTCCTCTGTTTTGCTCTAAATTAGCAACTGGGTGACTTGGGGCAGGGGGTGGGAAGCGATGCACTGAAGGTCATAGTTCCCCCACCCTGTGTCTCCTCTTAACTCATGGATGGGAGTCTAGTGTCCTGAGAGAAATGAGCTTTGAGATGACTCTTCCTCTTCACTCCTCAGCGGGCTTAGTCTTGCTTGAAACTAAGTAAACTTATTGGCCTGGCCCTCAACTTGGTGATGTATGTAAGTGTGTGAAGTGGGTGAGTCCGGGTGTAGGGGAGACAAAACCTATAGGGGAAGTAAGGCCAGCATTGCACAATTTGGCTGTGCTCCCCACAGGTCTCAGAACCAAAGGGTATGTGTCAGTGTCTGTGTGCCCACCTTGGGTGGGACCTGCACTCACGTTTGGGTCACACCACTGATATTCTGGTCTCCCCATCTAACTGCCTTTGTTGCAGGACAAATGTCATGGGTGAGGTGGTTTTCCTAGAGGGAGTAGAAACAGGATAGGATTGATGCCAAGAGTTCTAGGGCAAATGCCACCTTTATTTTTCCCTACTGTTTCCGTCCCCCACTGTTTTCTGATCTTCCTCTTCTGCTGATTGAGATCCCATCTTTCCTGCTGGGGCAGCCCTTTTCCTCCTTGGGAAGCGCTGAGATCTGGTCTTATTGTCTGGGGACAGCTGGGCTGCATCTGCCCTTCTAGAGAAGATAGTGCTTCCATTTCCTGACCCTTCTGACCAGCTCCTCTTACCCTAACAGGTAGAGCAGGTCCCTCTGCAGCCATGTCGGCCAAGGCGATTTCAGAGCAGACTGGCAAAGAACTTCTTTACAAGTACATCTGCACCAGCTCGGCCATCCAGAACCGGTTCAAGTATGCCAGGGTCACCCCTGACACAGACTGGGCCCATCTGCTGCAGGACCACCCCTGGTTGCTCAGCCAAGTAAGTCCACCCTCATCTTGGACCTTTCATATAGGTCCATAGTCCAAGGAAGAGAAAACACTCAGTTTGTTGGAGATGTCCTAATGGGTTATGTGATGGCAGGCGGCTTGCATCAGTGGGCAATATGCAGTGCACTGAGCAGGGTTTTGTGTTCAACTCCCCATGTGTTGAGGTACCCTAACACGGCTTACAGTCATGGGCTTGGAACTGGACACACAAGTCCAAATGGCAGCTCTGTTTATTAACTATGTGACCTAGACTAGAGCAAACCATTTTACATCTCTGAGTTTCAGGATCCCCATCTGTCAAATGGACATAACACTCACCCTGTAAGGATTAGCAGTAATGTCTGAAAAGCACTTAGCAAGCTGCTTGCCACTTGGCAGATGCTCAGTAAAACATAGGTATGTGCTGCCCCCGCTACACACACACACCCTGTAGGATATTAGGAATGTGTCAGGGCCATGAGGAAGTATGACATTGTACTTTGTATATAATGGTTGATGGCCTTGGGGGGCCAACCTGGAGTAGAGGCTCTTCAGATCCCTGCAGGGTCACTGTTGGGAAGGGTTGGGAAACTTAGATTTCTTTGGCAGAGCCCAGAGAACAAGGCAAGGACCAATGGTGAGGGTTTCAGGGATACACAGTTCTTCCCACTGGGAAGCCTCCAAACCACAAAGGGAGTTGCCTCTTGAGGTAGTGAATTACCTGGCCCTGGAGGTGTATGAACTGTGGCTGAGGGCTGCCTGTTGGGCTTGTAGACAGGGTTCAAGCACGGGGATGGTGTTGACCTCTAAGGTCCTTTGTCACCCCAAGAGTCTGTCTCTCTGTTCTTCCTTTTGGAACACAGGGCAGTGTCCATATCCCGAGGAGTTTATGGTTTAATGAAGCTAAGATACTACTTAGGGGGAGGGTAGGGATTCACTTATTCATTCAGCAGGTATTTGGTGAGCATCTACGCTGTGCCAGGTCCCAACCTGCACACAGATAGTTCTAGATTCTTGGTTGTCAAAAGAAAGATGTAGGCTGGGATAGATGAGCGAAGCCTCTAGGAGTTGACCCTGAAGGAGGAGTGGATTTGGTTTGGGGAGGAGGGTGAATTGGAAGCCACATAGGCTGGCCTGTGTTTTGGGTGCCCAAACTGTCACCTTGTACTCTACCTTCTCTTTCCTTACTCTCATTCCAGAGATTGGTGGTCAAGCCAGACCAACTGATCAAACGACGTGGAAAGCTGGGCCTAGTTGGGGTCAACCTCACTCTGGATGGTGTCAAGTCCTGGCTGAAGCCACGGCTGGGACAGGAAGCTCTGGTGAGTCTGAGTTTAGGGTCGGATGGATGTAGTGTGGTAACAGAAGCAAACGTGGTCACCTCCAGATCAGTAACCCTGTGGCTCACCCCCACAACTGGTCAGATTTCAGCCTGGGGAAGTTAGGATTCCTGCGGAGCTGATTTAGGAAGCAGGGCCAGTATTGTGCTCATTCCCAGCTCCCCTATCTGGGAAAGGCCAGATGTGCTGCGTACTTAACCCCAGGACTGTTAAAAAATCAGAAATGGTCTGTTTCTTTAACAGTGATCTGAGGTCCATTCTGGGAACTCCTTTCTTTTCAATTTCCAGAAAGGTTATGGTAGCTTTTCATGACATGTATACCCTAAGAGGATGGGTAAAATAGTTGAAGAAGGGAGATGAAGAATTATTTAGATAGAAATGTGATTGAACCAAGAACCTAGGATGTGACAGGTAATACTATTGAAGAGTAAATTCAATTTTTGGCTTCTCCTGGCTTGGTGATTAATCTCAGCTTTGTAGATGAGAGAGCTAAAGGGAGTTTCGGAAGGCTAAGAGACGCTCAGAAATAAAATTGCATTTATTTTCCATCTCACTCCCAAGAGGAGCTAGAGAACAGAAGGGGGAGATAGGCTGAGGCTCGGTTTAGACTAGGGAGCATGTGCCACCCATACCTGGTGTCCCATCTGGGATGACCATGGACCAGGAGTGAGCTGTTCTCTTCCTTGGCTACCTCACAAGTAGGATGAAGGTGGCAGTGGAGCCAGCTTCTCTGATTAGGCTTCCTCAAATTAGCTCTTCATGTTAATTCCCAGTTTCTGGCCCTCACTGGTAAAGAGGGAGCCTTGAAGTTGTACATGGACCTGGAGGCTGAAGGATTTTGACCTTCATGCTTCCAGGCCTTTGGGGAGAGGACAACAGAGTTGGGGGGGTAAGCAGTGTCCCTAGGGAGGTCTTCATGCTCCCTTCTCCTCAGCTGGATGTTGGGAAGGGATGTCGGGGACATCTGAGCTGGCAGCAGTGTTGGCCCTGGCAAGAGCTGCTCATTACCTCTGATGGATCACTGTCTGGTCCCTGACTCAGCAATGACGCACAGGCAGGCGGGGGCTTCAGGACATGCTGGGACGAGGGCTGTCTGCCTCAGCTGCCACCAGGGACCCACTCAGACTGATTAGCTCTGCAGGCCTGTTGTCCTCAGCCGTGAGAGTCTGTGTGGAAAAGTTTTCCTAATCAAACTCTTGCTCTCTTCTCAGCACCTACCACCCCCACTAATCCCCCATGTCTGGACTCATGTCCTCGCACTGGCTCTCCCTGCCTGAGCTCTGGGATAGATAGCCTTGATTTGCCTGAGCTCTTTAGTTTGTGTGAAGGCAGGAGGGAGATGACTCCTAATCACTGTGCTTTTGGGGGTGGGGCAATGTTACAGCTCATTTATCACTCTCTAGAGGAGGCAGAAAAAGAATGTGCAAGGTCAGTACATATCGAAGTATGGCTGACACAAGGGCAAGAGGATGAAAGAGGGGATCTCATGAAGAATTCTTTAGCTTAGGAGTCTTTGACCCTGTCGTCCTGGTTTCTGGAAAAATCTCTCTTTGCTGAATGTTATGGTAGTGCCTGGGCCCCACTTCCTTCTGCCCTAGGGATCAGGATGTGCTATCCATCTAAGCTTTATCTCCCTCCATCTCTGTAGGTAGGCAAGGCCAGAGGCTTACTCAAGAACTTTCTGATCGAACCCTTCGTCCCACACAGTCAGGTATGTATGAGGTAGCTCTAAGCTGAGTCTGCTCCCTCTGGAGCCTTGTGTTTATTGACCCTGAAATGATGAAAGGAGAAATCAAGCTGCTAGAGAAAAGTCAAAGGGGCCAGAGTCTGTGAAGCTGCACTGAGGGTCTGAGGGGTCTGTAAAGAAGGGGTGCAGAGATGAAGGAAAGGGCTTAGTTTGCAGTCAGGAGGAATCAGGGATGGTGACTTTCCAGCACTGGGATGAGAAAGACTTAAAGGTTGGACCCTGTCCCCCAGATCAGGTCATGCTGACCCAGTCTGAACTGTTGGCCAGTGAGGCAGTGGCCTTTTCTTTCCTCTTGTCCCCCAGGGGGAGGCAGTGAACAGGTCTGCCCTGGTGAATGTTCTCTGTGGGTTTTAGAAATGAGACCACAGGGGTTGGACCCCAGCCCCAGTTCGGTGCCCCTCACCCACGTGGTGCTTTCGTCCACTCTAAGGCAGAAGAGTTCTACGTCTGCATCTATGCTACCCGAGAAGGTGACTACGTCCTGTTCCACCACGAGGGAGGGGTGGACGTAGGCGACGTGGATGCCAAAGCCCAGAAACTGCTCGTTGGTGTGGATGAGAAGCTGAATCCTGAGGACATCAAGAAACACCTATTGGTCCATGCCCCTAAAGACAAGAAAGAGTTGAGTGAGAGGGTCTGCAGGGAGGTGGCAGTGGGGGAACGGGGAAGGCCCTCAGGCTCTGGGCACAGCAGGGGAAGCAGAGTGGCCCTCCCTATTTCAGTAGGAGGCGGGGAGCAGATGGTAGGCACAGCTCCTCCCTGTTCCAAGGATGGGAGCTGGGGTGGCTGATTCAGACTAAAACATGCCATCAGCGTCCCTCACCTCCTTGCCCCTGTCTGTCTGGTGCCTCCTCCTTTGGCTCCCTGACTGACAGTTCCTTTCCGCCTCAGTGGCTGGAGAGTGATGTCCAGGGAGCAGGTTTGGCAGAGGAAAGTGAGGAGTTGGTGGGGTGGCGGGATGGTGGGATGATGGGAAGTGGAACTGTCAGTGGCAGTGGCATTGCTGCTGAGCCCACTCCCTGATGGATTAACTGTCCTTCTCTCCCTTCCCCTTTAGAATTCTGGCCAGTTTTATCTCCGGCCTCTTCAATTTATATGAAGATCTGTACTTCACCTACCTCGAGATCAACCCCCTTGGTAACTGGGGTGGGATGGGGCAAGGGTCAGTTAGTTATAGGAGGGTCCCAGTGCCTACGGTAACCTTGGTCTTGACATTTATAGGACCAGACCTCCACTTGCAGAGGGCAGTACAGGCAGGTGTATGTGTGCAGAGGGATCTCTAAGCTCTTTCCTGTTTCTGAGTTCTCAGAAGACCATGATTATTCCTCCTTTTGACCAACTTTAGCTTCTTTCTTTGGCCTTAATTTGTTCTGTGATGGGGGAAGTTCTGGTTTTGATCTGACTGTGCCCTGTGATTATATTCCTGTCGGTGGGTTAGGCTATCGGCCCAGGAGAAGGGCTGCTTCTGTATTGGTTTGACTTTTTAGGCCCTTCTTTCCTCTCTGCGCTCTCAGAGGCCCCCTCCCTCCCCCTCCGGGAGCTGGTCAATCATTGACCACCATCC